ACCAAAAAAAAAAAAAAAAAAAAAAAAAAAAAAAAAAAAAAAAAAAAAAAACCGGCATGTGGGAGGAGTTCAAGTTAGCTTGCAATTCCAAGTTATAGTCGAACATGGGGCTGGGGGTGGAGCAGTCAAGATGGCAGAAACTTGAAGCAACTAGTCACATCCACGGGCAAGGGCAGAGAGAAGATGAATGTGTGAATGTGTACATGCTTCCTCTTCATCTTACTCTTTCCTCTGCTGATCTATGATCCATACCCAGGGAATGAATGGTGCTGCACATTTCTCAGGCTAGCTCTTCCAACATGAGTTAATGTCAGTCAAGATAGACACTCCTTTCCCCCACAGGCCAGCTTTCTACAGTCTCTCACTGAGACTTTCTTCCCAGGTCACTTCAATCATTATAATCCAGGATCACACACCTATTTTTAAAGTCGCCAGTAGTCTCCATGTTCCCTTTAGATTATAAATATCAATACAGTCTCCAGTCCTAGCACCTGTTGGCTTGGGGTTTGTACTCAACTGTCTTTACTCCAAACTGATGGTGTCAAGTCTCATGGCTTCATTTGGATGTGTGATTACCTCTCTCAAAGCTTGGTATGCAAATATCCAAAACATTTTCTTATTTCTTCATGTATTTCCCCCAGCCTCCTACTGTAGTGTGTCGATCTTATTCCTTATCTCTGTTATGAGCCAAATAAATACATCCTCTCTTCTATCAGTGTTGGGTGGAAACTCTGGAAGTCACCTTGAGCCAATTCCTGTCTTGTCACAAAATCAGCGAACTTCCATGTGAGTTCTACCCCCTTAAGTGTTGAGTTTCTTAGGTTCTTACCAATCCACCCCTGTTACCTGCTACACAGAAGTCTGCTTCTGTGACTTCCACTTGCTAGTTAAGTAATCTTGGATTTTTTTTTCTTCACATGTGGGGTTCCCTTTCTTCTGTAGGATAAAGTTAGATGCTTTAATATTTGTTTATAGAGCCCTGAATACTATGTTACCACCTAACACTGTCCACAGTCCCGTGCTTATTTATTTCAACACCTGCTCTGTAGTTAAGCTACCCTGTGCTCTCAGTTTAAACTGTCAACTTGACACAACCTATATTACCTGGGAAAAGTGTCTCAGTTTCAGAATTACTTAGATCAGATTGGTCTTTGACTAAGACTGTGGGGATTATCTCCATTGTTGGTTGCTATAGAGGATTCAGCCCATTGTGGGTAGCACCATTCCCTAGGCAAGTCTCTGGACTCTGTAAGAAATCTAGCTGAACAAGGAAGTAGGCAGCATGTGTATATACATTCAGTTCTCACTGCTTGTCTGTGAATGTTATGTGACTGGCTGTCTAGTCCTTCTCTTGACTTCTCCTCAGCGAGGGAAAGTCACCTGAAACTGAAATCCAAATAAACTCTTGATTCTCCTGGTTGCTTTTTCTCAGGCTATCTGTCACAATAACAGAAACAAAGCTGGAACATTCTCTTTCAAATAAAAATACTAAACATCACCTATGTAAAATCTCCATACTACTAAGCAATATTTATTATAACACAAAATCACAACCAAGTATAAAATTAAGGAATTGGTGAAACAAAGCTGTTGAGACTCCGTGAACATGTTGTGGCTTCCATGGGGCCTTCCCTGGAAACCTACACTTGAACTTCACTGCATTCCTAACAAAACCTTGAGTTTATGTTACACTTATTAAAAATTCACCTTCCAGTTGCCAAGAGCAATGTTCACCATTTATCCTGGGTACTACTCAGTAAGTGTTTAAAACTGAATTACTTTAGTATTGTTTACACAGAAGCATTTAGTTTCTTTCATGAATTAATTTTTGCTTGTTTTTTTTTTTCAGTCAGGGTCTTACTTGTGTAGTCCTCATTGGCCATAAATTTCAGGTCCTTCTGCCTCAGTTTCCTGAATGGTGGGTTTATAGACATCTGGCCTCACATGTTCAATTTCTAAAGCCAGTTTAATATATTAGAAAAATTATTCTTATAGTCATTACTTTTGATTTCTTTCTATATTATATTCCCAGTGGTTAACTAATGTGTACTATTGGTTCGATTACTAACACACAGTTGGCTTCTGTGCAGAGTATCTGCCTTAGCTCTTATTAAGCAAATAATTATTTCTTGATCTGCATCAAAAATACACCACATAATCCATATATACCTCTGGTATACATTTTTTATAGAACATAAGACGAGAGAAAAAACAAGATTGATCTCTGACCTCATTTTTTTAAGGTCTAATTTTGAAAGATCTATTTGTCCATTTGTTGCCATTAAAATATATTTTTGTCAACATTTATCTTTATAAAATTAAAATGTCAACATTTTCTACAATGTCAAAAAGAAAAGAAAGAAAGGGCAAACATGAAAATGTTTTCTTTACACTGATATCATCCGTGAGCTGTTAAAGAGGTTATTTGAATCCAGGCTGTAACACAACATTCAGAAAATTTAGCCAGTGGCTTAAATCTTTGGTGTTTAGCTTGTTAAAATGAAAGTAAGCTTAGTTAAGTTCTGTGTGTGATAAGACTGGAAAGTCGGCAAGGACTTGCTGTGCTCTGATCAAGTCTGCAGTGGTGTGTGTGTGTGTGTGTGTGTGTGTGTGTGTGTGTGTGTGTGTGTATGTGTGTGTGTGTCTGTCCAAGTACAACCCTCTGAACCAGCACCCCCAGCCCCCCATTTTCCTAAATACATCATGAAAAAAGGATGAGGTTTCAGCCTTAATTGCTTGCTCCTTTTATCCCCATTCCTCTCTCGGCCAGGGTTGTGAAGAGTGTCGGTAAAAGGCTACACAATAGAGCTTTTCATTAGCCCCAGCCAGGCACACAAAGCCAGGCTTTTGGGAACAGTGAATGCAGGGGTTTAATTTGCAGGTGGAGAGGAGATAAAAGGTGCTGACGCCCTCTATTATTCTCTTACTTAGGTGACCCTTACCCTGTTCAGCTGATCCCAACCACCATGGCAGCTGCTGCAGCAGCGACACCAGGCTTAGGCCCACTCCAGCTGCAGGTAAGTCGGGAGACAATGCAGGGGAGGCAGGGGTTAAGTGCAAGCCACAGAAGGCAACCATTATCCTCTTAGAGCAAACTACAACTGAGGACTGAGTCTTTGGTGACACGCATTTGTTTTGTCTTTACCTCTATTTGTTCTGAACCCCAACCCCCAAAGATTAGTTTTCAGTTTTGGTTGTGTGCTCTGAACTAAAGATTACCTACAATTTTGTCATTGCCCGGTGAGGTGAGGTTTAATACTGTGAACTTCGGGCTCCATCTTGTTGGTAGGCATCATGATTTTTGTTGTGGAAAGGTCCCTAAAATAACATCACCATCATCATCATCACTGTCATCATCATCATCGTCGTCAACAACAACAACAACAAAAATAAACAGCTCATCAGAGATACCTAACCTCAGCTATGATCTAAAGCAACCGAAACAGAATGTTATTTGAAATCATTGAGGATGCCTGGTGTTACTAAAGTACTCAGAGTCCATTTGTTCTTGCTTAGAGGCAGATCATTTGAACAAGCAAGGAAGACCAGACCAAAGTCAGCAGGTGTCCATTTGCACTTGAGCTTATCCTGACATCCTAATGGAGACCTCCTTGCCCTTCAGACTGTGGAGCTTCAGTACACCCAGGAAAAGTCAATAACCTTACCAGATGTCTAGGCGATTTTAGAAATTATGCCTCTGGGGTTAAAAAGAGAATCGATATGATTTTTAGTAGAGAGAGCATTCTTTGTCTCAGTCTCTGAATTGGTACTGCATAATATACTTCATATGCCCTGTTATTGTGAGCCTTCGAATTATGTATCCAATCAGAACAGATGATAAGCTAAGACTAGGGTCTATCTCCTCCTGGAGAACTGGTTTACAAGCATAGGAAACACACATCAAATGTATTGATGGCACACTTCATACAATTGAACTGCACCCATGACTGTGACTTGACATGCCTGGCATTATTCTAGGTTAAGTTCTTCATCAGATCCTCCAGAGCTGGGTAGAACCAATGCGCACAGAGATGTGTCCAAAGCTGGAGACTGGCAGGAGGAGCTAGCCGTGGGAGCACTGAGAAAGTATTCTGTGGAGGTTGTAACATTAGTTTCTAGTTTATCTTTTTCATGAAAAATGACATGGTGTCTGTTTCTTGGAGCTAGAATATGTTCAGAAGTGTTGGAGCTATGAGGACAATAAAATAATTGTAACATTTGTCATCTTTTTCAAGTGGTGTCTGGGGAATAGCAACAATATAGGGAAGGGATTGTAGCAGGTAAGACTCCAGAGATGCACACAGACACTCGCTGTCTATATTTGTTATGGGTAAATTATTTCTCCTAACTTTCTCAAAGAATGACTTACATTATCTGGCATTTAAAACATCTATTTTCGTAGATGACAGAAAATGGTCTTTTATAATGGAGCTAGAAGAAGAGGTAAAACAAACAGAAAGAGGATAAAGAACAGAGGAATTAGAAGAAAATGAAGAGCAGCCTCCAGCAACAGATTAGAATGTGGAAACAGGCTTCTGAGGTTTATTATATACAGATTGAGAGTTTCTGTTTGCCATACTCACTGGAGAGAAAGGTGACTGTAAGGTGAAAGTGACCACTGAGTCCTACTGTTGGTCTCCACCAGAGAGTGGTGTTGCCCAGTGAGCATCTCGGTTGCTTTTCCTACAAAGACAGATTAGAATATGTGGGATAAGTTATGTTTGGTTTCCATTCTGAAGCATTTTCAACTTTTCTCATATCTGAAGTATTAGTTTCCTTACTGAGACACGAAGAACATCTTTGAGCCCAAACAGGTTTGCTCTTTCTGTAAACAACTTGATCTGTAGCAGGGCAAAGTTCTCTTGTTGATCATTATCCATACCTCACGATAATGGGGTCTTGCTACCTTGATCTGTCTGGTCCTGAGTGTGTCTTCCTCCTGTCTCAGTTGCTCAGTCTACTCTTGAGTGTGTCACCCTGCTACCTCGTCCTTGGAACAATTATAATTGTACATCCTGACATGGCCTTTGAAAGTTTTCCATGTAAGCAATTTTGTATCCATTAAAGTTTATAATTTTAGATGGGTTCTCAAATAACCTACACTGTAATATCATAAGAAAATTGGCCTTCAGAACATCGTCACAGGAAGCTATGCATACTCACAAGATGTACTTACACAAACATATGCACATAATTTAATTTTGCAATTCTGAGGAAAGTGGGGGTGGGGCAGATAGTCACGTCAAACAAATTCCAAAGACTTGTTTTCTAAGAGCTGCTAAGTGTTTGCTCAGTGGCTTCTGACATCTTTATTGTAGAGCCATGGATCCCTCCACTTAATTTCAGCCTGCTTAACACCTACGAAGACCTCTGGTGTCTTCTCCCCACATGGTAGGCCTACACAGATAGGTTTGAGGGAAGCAATCTTCAATGGTCTTAACGTTTATATCACATCTACTTCCATTGGATAAATCTGCATCCGAAATGCTCTGTCTTAGTGGAATGTAAGAAACAAGCTAGGTTTAATGCTTTCCAAACTCTGCTTTGAAACATTTTAGGCTCCACTGACCATCTCTTTATAATTCTCTCAGTAAACCAACTGACCCTTCCAGAGAATAGAACTCATACAGCTAGAAAATCATTCCAGTGTCCATTCCACATCTTACCATCTACCTATCTGCTATTATCTCAGAAACACAGTTGTAGTGGCCAAAAGTAAAGAGGTCACTTACACTTTTTCTTTCTTAACCACACATAACTCCTGTGTCGATGCAAGATGGTACACTGGAGAAGTTGTGTGTGTGGTTCTCTTGGGCATTAACCAGAGTTTAAGTAAGCTGGGATAGGCGAGTCTTATCTGTAAAATGTCACATCTTCTTTGTGGCTGAGACACACCCCCATTGACAGGAGCCACTCAGGTAACAGAGCCACCCAGGTAACAAGAGTCCTCCCTTTGCTCCCTGACCCATGCGTCCCGCCCCTTGCTTCCTGCCCTGTGTTCCTTCACAGACAGCTTGACATGCTTGGCTGAGACCCTCCTCTGTGTTATCTTTGGGCTATGATGATAGTATACCTTGCAGCAAGTATCCCATCCTTCTCCATCAAACCAATCCAACTCAAGAAAGCTCCCTAATGGACAGGTACCCAGACAGTTGTGTATACCCTCAATCCATCCTACTGTGATTTCTTCAGGACAGTCTAACGTTCCAAGTGGACGAGGCTTTAGGTTTTGTAGCTCATCAGCCAACCAGTTGAGAAAGAGCATTGAGTTTTCTTTTCTTCTGACTTCTCCAAGTTTTGTGAATTCTGCCTCCTCTCTTGGGGAGGGAGAAAAGAGCGCTTTCTCCATAACCCAAGCTTCTTAAAGCCATTGGTCCAGCCTTCTCTCTATTTATCCTGCTCCGAGATGCTAGCACACATTGGTCTTCTATGATGTGGGAGGATGGGAAAAAAGGACAGGAGAGACAGAGGCACATGGTCAATGCTGGACACAAGAAGCAAATGCAAGAGCCATTCGGTCAGTGTTAGACACAAAACGAGTTAGAGGCAAGAGCAATGACCTCAATGCTGGAGAACCAGGTTAGTAGAATTTTAGAAAAGGGAACACCTGGTGACAGTCCTGTTGGTGTCAATCCCTGCTTTCTTTGTTTTAAAAACATTAGTTCACTTGGGGGGATTGTCTAGTTGTTTGGTTTCTGCTATTATTTGATCCATTTCTGTTTGTTCTGGGTGAGGAGTGGTGAGCCCAGGGGTATCTTTCGTATCTTTCCCAAGACAGCAGTTAGGGACCCTGAACTGAGGAAGGTGTAGGAAGAATAACTGGGGAGTTACTTACGTACGTACCTCTGACAGACCAGCACTGATCCAAGTCTATAATTGTTCCTTGCTAAAGGAGGGAAATCTTAAACAAATATAAATACAATGGTTTGAATTTTATCAAATTCTATAGCAATTAATATTGCTAGCAGATGGTTGAGGTCTTGCACGACATCATAGGTAAGGATTTCCTAGAACAATCTCATTTAATTTTTGTCACTGTACTTGAAGTTAGATATTAGTAGCTCCCTTTGACAAGGAAGGAGGCTTGAGCACAGAGTTCAAACGCCACTGTTTTGAATAATTACATTCATTTCACCATGCCCAAGAGACTTTATTTGCAACTCTAGAGTCCTTCTCTCCCAAGAGGCTCTCTAACTCAATCACTGGAGAATCAAATTGTAACAATCATGATGATTGGTTGACATTTCTTCAAATGCTCTGTGCTTTCTGGAAGCAAAGTGACCAACGAGAATGACAGCGGCAGCTGCACTTGAGACTCTGAGCTTCGAGCTTTGTAGAGAGTAATTCAAACACTTTCAGGACGAAGATCTGATGAGGAGCTCTGAAGGTCTTTCTACTTCTGGTTGATGGGATTTACCCATTCCGTTGTCTCTTGAAGTTACCTTGTGCACATGGTTTTCCCCACTTGTATAACACCATATATACATACATATACATGTACATATATATATACATACATATACATGTACATATACACATACATATATATACCTGTACATATGCATATACATTACAATCTTTGTTGAAGGAAGGAAGAGCAGAGGTGAGCATAATGATTTTAAAAGACCAGAAAACAACACGCCTTAGATAAAACTACTTTTTTAGTACATAGCTATTATTTTGTGGCCCTGAAAATCACTACCATGTGTAATGAAAAAGTATTTTCTATGAAAACAGACCCCATTGTGTATTTTTAGGAGTAGTTAAAATGTTTCCAACATCATCACGTATTACCTTTATTTTTTTGAGACAAGCGATTTAATCTCAATTATGAATACAACAAAACAAACACGTTATGCCAATTACTATTAAAAATGTCTTTTCTTAGAGCAAATCTCTTTGTATCTTATGCCTCCTACACCTTTTTCTAAGGTCCTGAGCCACTTGACAGCCTGGGTGTTGGCCATGGGTAGGGAAGATGGTGTACATGTTTATGTAGGCCGTGGACTCAGGCCCA